CTTGTGATATTTGTTAGGGTAGGTGTTCATAGTGAATTTTAGTTAGTGCATGTCCGGCAACGGGTTTGTTAATGCAACAATTAGCTAATTAGGTTGCTTGATATCACTATTTTATAGATCACTGGCAGACCCAGGGGTGGGCCTAGCGAGCAAACTTTGCTTCTTTTTTTTTTTGTAATTTTTTTTATGTTTTGTTTCAATTTTCAAAATCATAATGTGAAACGAAATCGAAATATTGCATTCGAAGTGCTCATGTTCTATTTTTTATGTCGTTAACAGCGTGTGAAATGATCAATCGTAGCAAATGTTACGACTTGTCAAAGTAGGCAGTTTAAAATTAGTATTTCGAGAATTTCGATAACATGCTAACTTTAAAAATTTTCCGACGATCGTACGGTAGTCGAATTTACAAATCGTTTATATCATCTCAAAGCTCGTTTCGAAGACTACATTATAGGCATATCAAATAGTTCAAACAGATATCGAAAATAGTTAAAAATGCGTCAAACGTATGTCTTAAAAAAATGCGTCTAAGTGACATTTTTTTAAAAAATTAATTATTTCATTAACATTTATTATTTTTGTGATACAAATTTCTCAATGTAATTTGCATTATTTTATTAGGAAATTTATATAGGATATGACATCAAAAATGTTCGAAAATTTACATTCGAAAAAGTTATATTCTATTACATTATTTTATTAGAAAATTTAGATGGGATATGACATCAAAATTTTTTAAAATTTTACATTCGAAAAAGTCATATTCTATGTAAATTTTTGGACGCAAAATTACACGTGGTATGATTTTTTTGGATGTAAATTTTCGATTGTACAATTTCTCTCAATTTTTTTATAAGTTCAATTGTGCCTCCTAACTTTAATTGTCCGCGTCCGCCCCTGTTATAGACGGTTGTATACTTTGACAGCGAGCTGGATATTTTAAGTCCATCATTTGTTGTCTGATGATCGGAGAGGATTCCTTTTTTTACACAATTTTATGTATACATATGTGCGTTTGTTGCGTGCGTATTGGTCTTTAATTATTAATGTAGACGAGTGAAAATATGACACAAGCACACTGTCAAATGATTGATAAATTGATATCAACAATAACGTGCATGTTGGAAGAGAAGGATATGAGTATAGATGATTTCATTTTCACTTAGCTCATTTCTATTTTAAAATTCTTTATTTTTATACTCATTTTCAACTACACATTCATACTACAAAATATTTTACACATAAATTCAATTTTTTTTCATACTTTCCACACATTCTCTAAAATCACTATTTAAAACATTATTTTTTTTCCATTTTTTTTAAAAATAATGGCCATCAAACTATAGCTTAATAATATGCACACATTAAATTATATTTATTTTCAACCACACATTTTTCACCGTTCGGCCCTCATTAATTTATAATACATTTTCCCATTTTTTAACTACACATTATTCAATAAAGTAATATTACATATAAACCAAAATTTTTTTTCTTCTTTTTTAATTACACATTTAAAAAAAAAAATACTATTTCAAAAATTATAACATCAAATAATGAGGCCAATGTGATCCATAATTATTTATCAATTTTAAAAAGAGGAAACTGCACAAAACCAATATTTTCAAGATTCATTTTCAAATTTCAGATATCAAGTTTCACTTTTCAAAAATCAGACATTTCATTTTTATACAAACCCTAATTATACAATATCTCCATTTCCCCCTCTTTTTCTCCTCAGTCTAGACTCTCTCTCTATCCTTTCCTTCCGGCGGCTCGTCACAAGTAGAAGACTGNTTATGTTGAATCCTGGTACCAATTGAGCAAGTTGCCAAATTGGTACCAGGATTCAACTTAAGTCTCCCATATGATGGAGGTCTTGGGTTCGAATATTGGGGGACGTGTCAGAAAGCCGTGAGGGCATAAGTGGGCAGAAGCCCACTCCAGAGCGGACAGTACGTAAGATAACGATTACGGTGAAAGGTATTCGAACCCAAGACCTCCATCATATGAGAGACTTAAGTGAAATCCTGGTACCAATTGAGCAACTTGTCCAATTCGTACCAGGATTCCACTTAAGTCTCCCATATAATGGAGGTCTTGGGTTCTAATCCTGGAGGACGCGTCAAAAAGTCGTGAGGGGTAAGATGAGCCTAGGCTCTCTCGAAGCGGACAATACGTAAGATAACGGCTCCGGCGCGAGGTCGGGTCGTTACAGGTCCACTCCTACTCTTCTTCACAGCTTGTGACGGCTGATGCGACGACTTGTACATTCCCAATTCTCCTGGAACCTCCGGCACCGATAAATTCAACGAAAATTTAGCCCTAGACGCCGCCGACGGTGAACCTAAATTACAAGCGTTCGTTGGAAAAAGATGTAACTCATTACCACTATTATTGTTATTGTTATCATCATCATCATCATCATTACTTTGATCATCATAAATTTCTATTATATTTGTTTTCAGGATGTAGAAATTGAGAGTTGAGAGTGAGTTCATGTAGGTGGAGCTGTTGGTGTCTTGTTCGTCGGCAGTGGCATTATTGTTGGTGGCAGAGGTAGTAGTAGTCTGTGAGATCTGCGAGAAGTGAAGTAGATCTGTGAGATGAGACAGTGGTTGTTCGGTGGTTGTGTACAGTGGTTTTGTTAGTGGCAGTGGTGGTGGATCTTGGTGTTGGTGGTGGTGATGTTGAGATGTTGGTGACGATGAGTCGTCGGGTGGTGGTGGATCGGTGCGAGGATGTGGTGGTGTTTTCTGCGATGTGTTGATTTGTTTACGGTGGTGTTGTTGTCGGATGGTGGTGGTGGTTCTGAGCGATGTGTTGATTTGTTTGAGGTGATGTTGCTGTCGGGAGGTGGTGGTGATGGTGGTTCGGCAGTGACGGTTGCGGTGGTGATGCTGGAGGGAGTGGTGATTACAGATTATTTGGTCGTTTGTGACCATTAAATTGGTTAATCTGTGACCAATGAAAAAGATACATTGTGACAAAAAATAATGTGTGACCTAAAAAATTGTTAATTTGTAATCGATAATTTGACAATTTGTGAATGTCAACTAAGTTGTGACTTATAATATTTGTGATTTGTGATCGATGAATAAGTTGTGACATATAAATTTTTTTATTTGTGATCGATGAACAAATTGTGACTTATAAAAATTCTGAATTGTTACCGTAAAATAATTTGTGATCTATAAAATTTCTGATTTGTGACCGATGAACAAATTGTGACATATAAAATTTTTGAATTGTGACCGTAAAATAATTTGTGATGTTTCAATTGGTTAATCTGTGGCCAATAAACAATACTAATTATATAGAATTTGTGAACAAATTATATGGAATTGTGACCTCAATATATTTAATTAATAAAATATATGTTTAATTAATTAATTTATAAATAAATTTTAAAAAAAAATCTGAAATTTGAAATTTTAAATCTTAAAAAATTTGAAATTTGAATTTGAAATGAGTGAAACTTAGCCTCTTAAGTTATGAAATTTTCCCTTTTAAAAACTAGAACTAGACGTTATCAACTACTTTATATTTGCGTAACATTTATGTTATATACACATCATTTTTTATATTATTATTTATATCTTGTCATGTAGCAGTACACCATTCAACAATTTAAAAAATACACTTCTTCTGTCCACAATTTTTTGAATACATGAATGATACATAAAAATAAAAAAATGTACACTTCGCAATATTTTTTTTGTAATTTGTTGACAAAAGGATGTCAATGCCGTTGCATCGAAACCGGAGATAAAGACATGCAATTTTATGATTCCTTCTTCAATTACAATCCTAGATCTATTAACTATGGTTAAAATTTCATTGCACACAAGTTTGAAAATCTTAACCCTAGTTAGAATAGGGAGTCTCTCCACCTGCTAATGATACGAGTGTTCAGCTTTCACTGTGAGTGAATGAGAAAATACAAATATATATATATATGAGGAAATTACATCAAATGTCATTTTGCTATTATGTATGTACCAAAATGTCACCTTTTTAAAGAAGTTGCAAGAATGTCAAAATTGGACAAATTTAATCATCAAATCAAACAATTAATGACCTTCCAATCAAGCATTAATTGCTCTTAGAAGGGTCAAAGGTGACCTCAAGGCTAGTTTGGACCTTTCACAATAAAAAAGTGACATTTTTGAACAAATGTAGTGCACATCCAAATTTTTTGTGGATTTTCAAAATTAGTGACATTTATGAAATTCTCCCTATATATATATATACACGCACGTACATACACGGACAAAGAGACAAGAAAAGGTAAAATTTATGCTTCAGACCGTTGATATTCTCTTTAGCTTACTGATGATCATCGCATCAAGGAATTCTACTGCCTTTATTGTTATGTTGATAAATTGATTATCTATTTTCGCTCTGCTATAAATGGAAATATCGTATAATTTCTATCAGATCTGTGAAATTTGAATCAGATTTGTTGTTGTTATTGTAGTTTAATTTTCCTGCACTCTAGTTTTCAATTTATTTTGTTTTTGTTTTTTTTATTTTGGATGATGATCATGGAAACTGGGCTCAGAATTATCTCTCTTTCCCTTATCCACTAACATTTCCACGCCTTCCAATTTTGTAGAAATTATTTGAGTGCTTACTCTCTGGTTTTTTCCTCTCTTTATTTCGTCCAAATCGAATCCGAAAAATCAAAAAGTAGTTGCACTATCCATTATCAGCTTCTTTTTCATTGACATCTTCAGATCTAGCCAATATTTTGAATATTTCTTCTCAGATACACCCAAAAAATTTTCTTTTTCTTTTTCCTTCAAAGCCCCAAGTTTCTTTGGTTTTCGCTTCATTAAACAATTACTTGACTGATATTACTTCATTTTATCCTGCAAATCGCTAATGCTTTTCATTCTATATAAAAAAAAATGATTTTTTTTTTTTTTTGGTTAAAAAGCTCAGTCTTTTGGTGAGAGTCGAGTTGGTCGGATCAAACTCGCTTGTTGTCAGAGATGATAAATTACTTTCCAGAGGAAGTATTAGAGCAAGTTTTCAGTTTCTTGACATCACATCGGGACCGAAATGTGGTGTCTCTTGTATGCAAGTCTTGGTATAATGTCGAGAGATTCAGCCGGGGGAAGGTTTTTATAGGAAACTGCTATGCCATCAGCCCTGAACGGCTGATCTCAAGGTTTCCTAGGGTTCGGTCATTGACACTCAAAGGGAAGCCCCATTTTGCAGATTTTAATTTGGTTCCCCGTGATTGGGGGGGTTATGTGTACCCGTGGATTGAGGCCATGGCAAAAGGCTGCACAAATCTAGAGGAGCTTCGGTTGAAGCGAATGTCGGTGTCTGATGAGAGCCTCCAGCTGATTGCCAAGTCTTTTCCCAATTTTAAATCTTTGGTATTGGTCAGTTGTGAAGGGTTCACCACCGATGGACTTGCTGCTGTTGCTTCCAATTGCAGGTATAATTTCTGCTTCTTAATATAAGTTTTTCACTATATTGTTTAATGCCTTCCATTTTGACTAGGAATATTTCTCTTAATATATTGTGTTGGTAGGTGTATCAGTGCCTCGTTATTTTAACCTCCATACGGTTTATCATTAGTAAATGTTGCTTCCTTGCTGAAATTGTTGTAGAATGCGTGTGTTTGCTATTCTTGGTGTTAGATATGGACTTCACCTATTAGCTCACCAATTAACCAAGCAATTAATTTATCTGTTGTCTGATTATATCATTTCTCTCATCTCATATGTAACCAAAGGTTAAATAGCTTTCTAGCAATCTTCCACCATTAATGATTAACGACTAATAGGTAACTTGATTCTTTAACTACCTTTCCTTACATTTCATTAATTGGAGTATTGTACTATGTGGTTCCCTCAAGTTATATAGAGGTGCAGATGTGAAGAATAGGGTAGCTTGCAGGTGGAGAAAATTTATTTTTTTAATAGCCGACTCTTCTGTTTTGATGCAGGTTTCTTAGGGAGTTAGACTTGCAAGAAAATGAAGTTGAGGACCGCAGAGGTCAGTGGCTTAGCTGCTTTCCTGACAGCTGCACCTCTCTTGCCTCTTTGAATTTTGCATGCCTCGAGGGAGAAGTTAATTTGGCAGCTCTTGAGAGACTGGTTGCAAGATGTCGTAACCTTAAAAGTCTGAGGCTAAACCATGCTGTAACTCCTGACATTCTTCAGAAAATTTTGGCGCTAGCACCTCAATTGGTGGATTTAGGGGCAGGTTCTTTTGTTCACGATCCAGAATCAGAAATCTATAACAAATTAAAAAATGTTATGCAGAAGTGTTCATCAATTAGAAGCTTGTCAGGGTTCCTGGATGTTAATGCACGCTGCCTACCTGCTATTTACCCAATTTGTACAAATTTGACTTCTTTAAACTTGAGCTATGCTCCTGGAATCTATAACAAGGAGCTTGTAAAGATAATACGGAAATGCAAGAAACTGCAATGCCTATGGGTTCGATTTTTAAACTTCATTTTTTTTACATGACTGTATTCTTATACTTCACCAGAAATTTTGACGTTTGAAACTACATTTTACAGATTTTGGATACAATTGGAGATAAAGGGCTCAGTGTTGTGGCATCCACATGCAAAGAATTGCAGGAATTGAGGGTCTTCCCATCAGATCGCAATGGTGTGGGGAATGCAGCTATAACGGGAGAAGGATTAGTTGCAATATCAGCTGGTTGTCCCAATCTTAATTCACTGCTTTATTTCTGTCAGCAGATGACCAACGCTGCACTCATTACTGTGGCAAAAAATTGCCCCAATTTTATTCGTTTCAGATTATGCACTCTTGACCCAATCATACCTGATGCAGTGACGATGCAGCCACTTGACGAAGGTTTTGGGGCAATTGTCCAGTCGTGCAAGGGTCTTAAGCGGTTGTCAGTCTCCGGCCTCTTAACTGATCAAGTTTTTCTTTACATAGGAATGTATGCCGAGCAGCTTGAAATGCTTTCGATCGCCTTTGCTGGTAACAGCGACAAGGGAATGATGTATGTATTGAATGGTTGCAAGAAACTGAAGAAGCTGGAAATTAGGGACAGCCCCTTTGGAAATAAGGCACTTCTAGCAGACACGGGGAAGTATGAGACAATGCAATCCCTTTGGATGTCGTCCTGTAAGGTGACGTTTGGAGCTTGCAAGACCCTTGCAGAGAAGATGCCAAGACTCAATGTCGAGATCATTAATGAAGGTGACGAGATGGAGGGTGGACCTGATGATAGACAGAGTGTAGAAAAGATGTACTTGTATCGGACACTGGTTGGGCCTAGGAAAGATGCACCTGATTCTGTATGGACGCTGTAGATGCTCTGTGTTGGAACTGGCAGTTTTAATTTTTATCAGATGAACTACTTACTGATGGTTTGTTTGTATGTTAATTTTGTTTATCAGTGGAACTTGAATGCTGTGGAATCTTTTCGTTCATATTTGTAACTTGATCGGTTTGATCTTTGTTTAATAAACTTTGCCCGTATACAATCTAGACTTTTGAGTTAAATTTGATATCACTAGTGTGTCCGGAAATTTGCTGTATTGTTAGTAGTACAATTAATAGAATTGTACGTCTCAGGGATGAAATGCTAAAAAGACGGGAAAAGGTGCAAAAAGGACCGAAGGGGTGCGAATCAAAATATTGATGCGTGTGTGAACACGATCATCTTGATATTGACGAAATATTTGATTCTCACAATTCATTGAATGGAATGGGTCTATCCACAAGTGGCTTGATACAAACGCTAACGCGGTTAAGTAAAGTGCGGCGATAATGCATTATTTAATGTATATGTTTTAGATTCAACGGTCAGCAATTTCGCGGTTGGAATTCTACATCTTCTAGAATAACCAAGTGGAGGTTTTTATCAATCAATCTCCTCCCCTGTAAAATATAAATCTGAATCCCCTTTTCATATCTATATTCTGTACTAACAATAACATAGACAATAGAATGATTCCCACTACTCAAGAATCGCAATGCAAATACCCCAACCTGTCTTCCCCTGATGTCAATCCGCCACCATTGCCACCTCCATACAGTCAAGATCCTCAGCCTGGACCGTCATCCTCCACTGCACATCCAAAATCCGAAGAGAAATGGGGTACTCACATCATGGGCACACCTTCTGTGCCCACATGCCACCCCAATAATCAGAAGGCAGCCTTGTGGGGAGCAGGCGATCAATATGATTACCAAAACCACCATTACCCTTACGTACAGTATTCCCCAGTAGAAAGAACCAACAGCACACCCTTGGAATCTGTTCTCCAGAAGTTCAATTCATGGAGCCACAAGGCTGAGTCCATTGCTCATAATATTTGGCACAACCGTATGTCAATAGTAGACGTGCAATTTACTTTTTCCTTCTTTTTTTGTAGCAACCAACTATATATTTTATTTTTTATTATTATTTTTTTCCAGTTAGAACAGGACCATCTGTGCCTGAAGCTGCCTGGGGGAAGGCGAATCTGACAGCGAAAGCAATAACAGGAGGTGGGTTTGAGGCCCTGTACAAGCAGACATTTGCAACGTTTCCAAATGAGAAGCTAAAAAAGACTTTTGCCTGTTACCTGTCTACCGCAACTGGACCAGTTGCCGGAACCCTCTATCTGTCCAATGCCCATATTGCTTTCTGCAGTGATAGACCCTTGTCTTACACAGCACCCTCAGGCGAAGAAACCTGGAGCTATTACAAGGTAAAATAGTCATTTTTCTCATGATCATCAAATTCCACTAAGATCATCAGGTTCCCCTAATGTCTTTAACATGCCTTCTCTTTTGTAAGTTTCCAATGCTTGAGCAATATGCATTTGCATTTTCATTCTGCACAGATTCTGATTCCCTTGGGCAAGATTGGCAACATCCACCCAGTAATCATGACGGAAAATCCAAAGGAAAGATATATCCAGGCTATCACCATTGACGGGCATGATTTTTGGTATATGGGTTTTGTCAACTATGAGAAAGCAACTTACCATCTCTTTGAAGCTGTTTCAAGTTTTGCGGCTGCTGGCATACCAGTGGCGCAACCATTTCTAGCTGAACAATCCCACTAGTATCCAAATTTTGATTCATCGGCCATTTCTTAATCTTCAGATTTTATAATTTATTTTTTTCTTGCACCAGTACTGCTTGTCGACCTTGTAATTTGCTTTTTAGTGTTATTATCTTACATTATACAACTGAGGAACCATATGTCTCTGGCAATCTAACACTAAGCATCGTGAAATTCCATGAGGCAAGAATATTCAAAATCAGATATCCCATCAATCACAAATTGTAGGCAGATATCACCATGTTGCCAACGGAATAAAACCTTGCTCATTTATCAAAAATGACCCAACGTTCTGGGCCTTCTGGCAACATTTTACAGCAAATTTCTTCTTTACATAATATATACAGAGTTCCTAATTATATGCCCTTAATTACATAGCAATACAACAAAATATAACAGCTTTTAAAAAGGCCATGGTCATGGCTGGGCAAAACCTAATCCAACCCAACAAAATCGCCCAACCCGACCCGACTGGGTTGGGTCGGTTTTTTGTAATTTTTTGGTGGGTTACGGTTTTTGGGTTAAGTGGTCGGGTCGTTGGTTAACAAGAAAAACCCAACCGAACCCGCCACATTAAAAAAAAAAAAAAAAAAAAAAAAAAAGAAAAAAACAAAAAAGAAAAAAAAAA